ACAAATATCACCTGAAGAAGGTTGGAGCGTACAACGGTCGAAACGTTGTGTATGTAGCAGTAAAAATGAGGCCTACAATCAATCAAAGCAAATATAGAGTTGAAAAAAAATCACTGGAAAGGCGTTGAATTATACTATTATCTAAATAATGTTAAATGTTTACTGGGAATATAGCTTTTATTTGAACAAAGTATCTATAAACAAAAAAAAATGTTGTTTTTTTTTTGTTTTTTTTGCTATCCTCTACCTGCCGCAATGATGGCGAAAGTATTACCTCGAACCATCCCGCGAACCCTCTGAAGGAACGCCATCGAATGAGGGCCAATAACCCCAGAAGTCTCCATTGCCACTGGAATAAAAATAAATCTGTCCTTAAGAGAAGAATATTTAACTAAATGTTTAATGTTTTGTCAGGAAAGTACCCAGTAGTACTTGAAATTCTATTTCTTTGTTTTTGACAGCGATCTCCTTTGGCGAAGATACACCAACTTGACAGTATCGACTTCATCTTAAACTTAATAGCATTTCAGGAAAAGTGGTTAGTGGGGACTTCAGGGAGTGTCGGCGTCTGATTTATCGTCTGCATCATCTATATTTTCCCGCCGTTCATCCGTAATTATATTGATAATCTGATCATCGCTTAGTGCCTCTGTTCCGATATCATTGTGTCAGTTTAGCCAAACATCGATCTCAGCCTTGACAATGTGTCCTAATCCCAGCTGTCTGCAATCCCCGGTGATTAGAGTGGTCACCCTTTGATCTGTATGAGTGTCCTTTTCATCGCCATGACTACCAACACGCAAGTCATTGTATAAAGAGCTTGTGACCGTCGATGACTTGATGCTTTTCCAAGAATCAGCGATTAGGAACAAAACATCTTTCACTGTGAGTGACTTGATAATTTACGACATTCTGCTCTGTGTACGACGACATCACGCAGCATATTAGGGCGATATTTCTTGAATATTGTGGTCGTTGATCGAGCGTCTGTAGTATTGAAGCTATGTTCAATGGGAAAACAAACACTTGATTACCCGCTTGGTCATTCAAAATGGCCGCCTTTCATGCTGTTTGATACTTCGTTGTCAGCGAGCACTAAGGCGGGTTGTGCTGTGTTAAACACAGAGTCTGAACGGAAGGCAGATACAAATTAGTCCAAAAAATCATTATGAACAAAACTTAATCTGCAATCAACACTTCTGTTTTGCGATTTGCACTTCACAGGAAACGATTTCTTATAACATGTATTGAAAGAACATTGATTAGAATAACTTCCGGTAATGAAAAGATGTAATTTTATAGTTAATGGCTCTCTGCTACTCCCTGTCTTTTATAGTTCTTAAAAATAATTGTTTTCTTTTAATAATTCTTTCCAATTCTTGACACAAGCTTGTTACGTAGATTACTTACTGTTTATCTCTACCCTAATTGTTCCCAAATGTCCCGTGAATGTCAAATTCTCCAAGCCTTTTTTCCTTAATAAATGTCTTCATTGCTGCCAACATTTGTTTTTCAAAATTCATTGTTGGCAACATTTGTTTTTCAAAAATGCATTGCTGGCAACCTTTGGTATTGCTCGTAATAATTTTTTTACTGATATAAAAACAGTATTAACTTTTGTTAAATTTATTCGAGTGTTATTTTTTCTCTGTACATCATTGGCCTGCTTAGACTAACCCGACACGAAGATACCTGCGACCTTGCGATCTTGGTTACCCTATGATCAAACATAAATCACAACGTTGGATAGGGTTAGCTCGGGACTGACGCGGTCTCTTCAGCTACCAGCCGCGGTGTTGGAAGTCTTGGACGACCGGGGAGGGTGTTGTACGATTTCTGTAATCATCATCATCATCATCATCATCATCATCATCAAAACTCTTTCGATTTGAGGTCATGAATTAACCTGTGACAATGTATACTGGTTCGACAATATTTTTCCAGCCGTCTCTGAGTTTGCGGATTCGTCGCAGATCTTCCTTGATTGTAAACTTCTCCAAAGGAAAAGTGGGATTGTTCTGCCTTGTTCTTTGAATCTCTCAGTTCAACGTTGTGACTATGGTGGTTCTTGGATGACCTCTGAACTTTTTGAAGTCAGTCTTTTCAAAGTTAAAATCCAGTTAGCTGGACGTTCTTGATCCATCCTGTTTGTTGGCATTTATATATATATATATTTTTGGAACAGTGAACTGTATGACAAACACACGGTCTAATACTTTTCAACATGGATGTACATTATTCATCCATTTACTGTGGTCAACAAATCCGTTTCCATAATGTTTGCATTCTGTCTCTAAGCATATCAGCTGGTGTTGGTTTTTGTCGATGTTACTGTTCAGACCAAGTCTAATTTTTCATTTTCCTAATATTGTCTTTCTTAGTATGCAACGCCTTAAATAAGTAGCTACTGCATAGCAGTAACTGGAGCAGCCATTATCCGCCCCGCGAAGAAACGTAATTTAATCTGAGGAATATTTATGAGCGGATTTTGAAATTTTGAATTACGAGTAACTGACAACATTTCACTTTTTTATATTAGATAGAATGTACAAAATAAAAAAAAGTCAAAATCATCACTTGCCTTAATAAAGTCAGATGACAAAACACGTCTGCAAAGACCCTATATATACTTACATGAGAAACTATATATTACTAGGTTTATATAAAAAATAAAAATTTACTAAATCAGAGAAATTAATTAGCTATTTTTGCTATCATTGTCATAAATTTTACTTAAATAATATTTAAATATAAATTTTTAAAAAATTGTGACCTAGAAATATACATACTTATACTTGATGTGAAAATAATTTTACATACTGTAAGTGATTCTAATGCATTTTCTTGTTTTAAAAAGAAATATAGTATATTAAAAATTAAAAGTGAAAATATTTTTAAAATCGTAGTTAAATAAAACGTATTCTAATCGACCCCCAACCAAATCTTTAAGTATACAAATAGAAAAAATGCCGTAAGAATTTTTGCCGTTAACAATAGAATTTTAAAAAAAATCCAGACGACATGCATTTAACGAATGTCAGAATTCGTTGAAAAATACATCCCTACCCCTACCAAAATGTAACTAATAACTGATACATCAAAATACAGCGATAATGAACGCGCAACCACCCATTGTCTTGATGAATGGATTCCTTGGAAACGTGAATTATGATTTTTGCTGTGTCTTTAAAACCCAGTAATTTTAAAAGTTACTCCTAAATTTGCTTGCGCATGAAATGGAACTAATGTCTTTAATTTAATTACAAAATTAAATTCGAAGCTTTTAGCTTCCATTTTTGAAACATGGTTAGAACAGTGTAGCGAAAAAAAAACATATTTTAAATCACTTAATTTATAATATTAATGCTCTGTAAATTTACATTGAGAACTATTTTGTAAAAATAATAATATCTATAAGAACACCGGATTATATATCTTACTGTTCTTTCTTTATATATATATATATATATATATATATATATATATATATATATTATGAGGGACAACGGTGAAGAAAAAGAAATAGAATACGGATTAATTTGGCTCTATTGAAAAAAAATTCAAAAGTATTCTTTCAAGAAGTTTTGAAACTACCAGCGTCTCTCGTTTCGTGCACATGTGTAGACGTGGCAACATCAACAAAGCCCAGATGAAACGCGTCACAAAATATTTCCAGATTGTCATATTTTTCTAAATATTGTTTGTTATATATAAAATTCTACAAAATTATATATATACATATATATATATATATATGTGTGTGTGTGTGTGTGTGTGTGTGTGTGTGTGTGTATTTATGATAAAAATATATTGTTAAGGTATGTAATATTTATGGAGTCCACCGTATGTAAATATAAAAGTGGGCATCGAGGTCAACATAGAATGGCGACAGTCTGTTTCATGCTTCAACATAATCTTCAGGCTTTTTCACCGTCGTTACCAGTGCTGTTATTTTTTTACAAATATTTTCATAGTAATTATTTTAATGAGCTTTTTACGTTAGTGCCTCGACTACACGATTTTAAGCGTTCTACTAGATTGGCAATTAGGTCTCACCACTTTGATTTAGATAGGTGCAAATGCCACTTCTTTTTATATTATTATACCACACTTCTCACCTGTGGAACTACATTCCTATTTCTTGCTTCCCTGCGATCGACAATCTTCAAAAAATTTATATGCAAAATCAATCTTTATTTTCTGTCTTGTTAATTATCGTTCTTTTATCGATCTCTCTCTCTTTAATATTCATTTTTCTCATATTCTCAAACGCTCAGTAATCTCTTTGCGCCTTAGTAGCTTTAGTGCCTTGCTTGGGAGGAATTTAAATACAATTTCAATCGTTATTTTCTGTCTTCTAAATTCTTATTGTTTTATTTTCATCTCTCCTTAATATTAGTTTTTCTCATATTCTCTAACATTCAGGAACTCTGTTTGCGTCTTAGTGGCTTTAGTGCCTTGCTTGGTGAATGGAATTTAAATGCAATGTAAATCGTTATTTTCTGTCTTCTTAATTCTTGTTCTTTTATTGTTCTCTTTCCTTAATATTAGTTTTTCTCATATTCTCTAACACTCAGTAACTCCTTTGCGTCTTAGTTTGGGGGAAATTTAAATGCAATGCGCCTTTTTTGGGGGAAAATGTAAATGCAATGTCAATCGTTATCTACTGCCTTCTGTAAGCCTGTTCCTTTATTGACCTTTCCTCATTTCCACCACCAAAATCTCATTCTATTTAATTCTTTGTGGACCCTGCATTCTAGTGTTATTGTCGCGTTGCTTGGGTTGAAGTAATTCAAAAAATCATCTTTAGGTTAATTTTTTCCGTAATTAGAATAATTGGTCTGAAAATTTATTTTAATGTTGCGTTCTTTCAGCACTGAAATCGAATGATGACATATTAAATATACCCCAGTTTATTTCGTACCCTTGTTAAAAAAAGCTATATATTTCTTTGTTTTGGTCTCTACATTCATAGTTAGTTATTCTTTACTTAGCAAATTATGTATTGTTTTTACACTTCTTCAAATGAAAAACTAATTGTCACCTTCGTCTGCCGTACTCAAACCCATCGCGGTCCGGAGTGTGTCCACGGCGGGCGGGAGCCCAACGATCGCGGTCCGGAGTTTGTCCACCGCAGGCCGCAAACTAACCAACGCAGGCCGCAGTCTAACGATCGCGGTCCAGAGTTTGTCCACCGCCGACCGGAGTCGAACGATCGCGGTCCGTAATTTGTCCACCGCGGGCCACAAATTAACCAACGCGGGCTGGAGTCTAACCTCTACTAACCTTCAGTATCTGTCTATATTTCTCAGATGAGGTATTATGGACACTATTTACATTATTCGGACTATTGTCCTTATCTTTTCGCCATATTTATTACAACTTTTGGTTTGTCTTGCAAAGGGGAACGCATTTAATAAGATTTCTCAAATATTCAGCCCAGTAGACGAAAATAAATACACTGTTTAAAATTAACGGGGCGTTTATTCAAATATGGGTATCCGCTAAAAATAGCGTTTAATGACTGATTTCTTACAGTTTATTAATCTTTCGCAAGTTTTTCTTTGTTTTAAATTCAGAATGTATTTTTCCGAGATAATAATTTTTTTAGTGATACCAGTTCTACTAATTTATCCATAATTGAAAGGAGTTTGTTTAGTGGCATATCGACTCATTATGGGTCATTTAATGCATAAATTTAAATTTTTTTGTGTAGCATTATTAATTTCTTTTACAAAAATGTATTACTGGTAATTCGTTTATTTGCAAGAAATTATTGCTGGTAATTCTGTTTTTTTTTACTATAAAAATATATTTTTATACTTTCATGGAGATCTGAGCCCAATTTGTGGGTTAACTATTCCCCTATAGCTGAGCACTTTCCTCAAAACCTGCCGACCAGAGGCCTTGCTGCTGGATGTAGTTTATCGTTATACCCAGGACGATAACTGGGAAGAGGAGAAGTGGATTCATACCTTTCCCAAGGGTATTTGAACGTAAGTGAATATGACGAACACAACAGAGATTAGAACTCGGCTCTCCGATTTCCAATTTCAAGACGTTATCCATTACACCACCCGCACATCCAAGCTTACAATTTTCCCAAGCGGTCACCCATCGAGGTGCACATTTAAAGTGATAAAAATTTCCAAAGATTTTAAGCACTCACGCATTTCCATTTCCGCGGACACTGGCAACGGGAAAAGGAAATGTTTTGGAAATGAAATAAAAGGGTCTTCACAAACAAACGGCAGCCATTTTTTTTATCTTCAACTGATTAAGTAGAAAAAGATTAAAGATAATATTCAATAACAAATGGGAATTGATAGGGCATAAATTAACGAATGCGGTGACAGAATAATACGTGAGAAAATGGTTTTAAAGTGTGAAAATTTTTAGAAAGAAAAAAAAGGAAGTATTTCTAAAATTAGATTTTCAACATTTTCTAATTAGAGCAGATCCTATTAGAAATACATTGTACCCACAAATTGTATTAACATATCTGTTATTTTAACTAACAAAATGGTTGATGTTTTTTTGCTTTATTTTTCAAGAAAGATTTAATCATTTTTTCTTCATTTTAAATTTTTTGTTCCGAAGGGTTTTTTTTTTATTATTCACTTTTTTGCAGTTCGATATGTTTGCTTCCATTTGACTATCTGACATTTATTAGAAATACATATTTACAGAACATTTTGAAAAATATGAAAATTTCCTTTAAGAATATAAACGAAGTATTCAGCTTTTGATTCTTTTATTGTACGAGAATCCTTTGGTATCAAATTGTTGGAACCACTGAAAGTAGTACTATACAAAGAGTAAAAAAAAATACGCAACATTTTAAGAAGTTCACATCCAAATTGCACGATGTTGCGAATCGCGGTCGGGTGTTGTCCTGAATCGCCGTCACATTTCTTGTTCGGAAATTATTTCTGTTTCGAGAGACAATTGCTTTGTTCCGGTTATAGAACATTCCCAGTAAAGAACTCCATTTAAGTTCCGCAAAAACAGAGAATTTTACGAGTTCATTCTTTTTAGGGTTAAACACAAATAGCTGCATGTGTCAAGAGACGATCTTCATCGTAATTAATTAATGTTTCGGCGCTAAAAGTCTCCAGAAATCATCTTATTTTCCACGATCAAAAAAAAAAAAGTGTTTCGAATGTCGATGTGCAATTCATTTTCATAGAATCTATTTTTTTCCAAAGGCTTGTCAACGAAGTACCACAAATTAACTTTTGTTTTAATTACTTCACCCAAAGCAAGACAATAAAGCCACTACGATGCAATGGGTTAGAGTGTGAAAGATTATGACTAATTTGTTGCACAAGCAAAAATTAATTTTTTTAATCAAAATATAGATTTTTCCTACTTTTTTCTTTCGTATAAATTCACTTCTTCTATTCCAAGTGTGGATTAATTAGTAAAACTCGTATCAATAAAAAAATTATTATCTCAAAAAAAAAAAAAAAAAGAAAAAAGAATTCATACAATCTAAAAATATTTTCTGGCTTTAAATAACCTTTAAAGGGTTGATAAGCCATAGAAAGTGAATCAATCTATTGTTCGACAAAATTGTTCATCCATACGTAATAATGTCGTTTTTAGGGATGCTATAGAATGAAATAAATAAAGAAAGAAAGATCTCAGTCTTACCAACTATGTTGGCTATGATCCTTTCCTGTACTCGTTCGGTGCCTGAGGTTTGTGTTCGAGTCCCGATAAAAACCAGGTATTAGAATACATATTTTAATGGAAGGCAGGCAATCTGCATTTTGACAACAGGCGCATTGTAACTTTCCTATACATATTCTTGGCTTTGTTGGTAGCATTCATTGATGTCAATTTTTTGTCACATTATATTTGAATATGTGGTGATAGAATTACTCGCTTTTGTACTCTTTTGAATACGATAAAGAAAAGTTTGGTATGGGGAGGTCTTCACACTATCCGGAGTACATATAACATTTTTCTAATGATGTTCAATTTTTTTTTTGTTTTTTTTTTATATATTTATTTGTCACGTTGTGTATGTGTCTCCAAGTGTCAGCGTATTACGCTGGTTTTATATCGGGCTTTTATCTTTTTTGTAATCTTAAATGCATGAAAATAATTAACTCAATGGAGAAAACGAGACGAAAAGGAAGGAAGTTAAAATCAAGGCAAAAAAACATTAATCGAAAAGATTGAATAATGACAACGTAGAAACTGTCACTTATAAAAGTTGATGTTGAAAATCTCTTCTTTCAACTGAATCAGATTTCCTGGCAAGATCAAATAATTTCTAAATCGACCCTTTCTCTTCAAGTGGATCCGTTTAAAGCTGTTACGGAATTGGTTAATTCTTTTGCCAAAGTTTTCTTTATGATTGTCAGCCAACTATTTTTTTTCTTCTTTACAGACCCAACCATTACCGTGTAGGTTTTTTTTTTCTATGAGGTTAACGTCACTTTATTTCCTTTCTCGATTTCAATTTGAACTTTTTATGGAGCTTCTATATATTGGCATACCATTATTACTACCTTCAGTATTCATCCAGTTATTTCTTCTGCTTTTCTTTGACATTTTTTTTCTTTTTCATTCTTAAATTTTATTTCTTTCTTTCCTTCATAATAATCGATTTAATTTCAATTGTTATTTGCCTTTATTTTTTCTATTTTCCTTCCCTTCATTCTTTCTTTCCTTTTATTCTTTTTGATTTCTTTCACTTCATTCTTTCTAGTTTTCTTTTCCTTCATTCCTTCTTTTTTCTTTCCTCTCATTCTTTCTTTTCGTCTTTCATTCTTTCTTTTTCTTTCTCTTCATTCTTTCTTTTTTTCTTTCAGTTCTTTCTTTCACCCATTTTTTCTTTCTTCCCATCGCTCTTTCTTTCTTCCTATTAATTTTTCTACTTTTGCATTATTTCCTTTTTCTTTCTGTAAATTAATTTTTCTTATTAATTTTTCGTGTTATCAAATTTTTCTACAACTTTCTTTCTATTAATTATTTTTTCTTCCTTCGTATTAAATCATTTTTTCTTTCTAGCAATTAATTTTTTCTTCTTCTCATCAAATCTTTCTTCTTATCATTTTTCTTCATTCTCTTTTTTTCTGTTAAACCTTTTTTCTTTCTTCGTATTAGTTCCTTTCTCTTTTTCACAATTAATTTGTTCTTCTTATCCTTTTTCATTCTCTTCCTTCGATAAGTCTTTTCTTCTATCTATGCATTCTGTTTTCATTCTATCAATTGCCTTCTTCCTTTTTTCCTTCTTTCTGGTAATGCTTATTCTTCATTTTTTTCCATCATTTCTTTCTTCTTCTTCCTAATAATACTTTTTATTTCTTATTTTCGCAGTTTTCTTTCTTTCATCATTTCTCTGTTTTCATTCTTCCTTTGATTTTTCTATTTTCTCATTCCTTGATTTCTTTCACAATTTTCTTTCTTTATTCTCCTTTCCTTCTTTCATATATTTTTTTTTCTTTTAATTGATTTATTTTTTCTTTCACTATTCAACATCTTCATATGCCATTTCTTTTCTTTATCGTTTGTTCACACAATATTCTTTCTTAAATTCTTTCTTCTTATTTCCGTCTGCTTTCATTTTTTTTTTCATTTTTCTTTTCTTTCATTTTTTCTATTTCTATTATTTGTTCTCTCGATTGTTTTTTGTTCTTTTTCTTCTTATTTTCTTTCTTTCTTTTCATTAACTTAAGGGGTTTCGCTCCACTGGTCTCACTTTTTTCTTTTTTCTTTCATTCTTTCTTTCTATTAACTTCAATCATTTCACCTCTTTCTTTCTTTCTTTCTTTTTTTCTTTCTTTCTTTCTTTCTTTCTTTCTTTCTTTCTTTCTTTCTTTCTTTCTTTCTTTCTTTCTTTCGTTTGTTCGTTCGTTTCGTATTAATGTCACTGGTCTCACATTCTTTCTTTCTATTTACGTTACCTGTTCCTTCTTTTCTTACTTCTTTCTTTCTTCGTTCTTCCTTCCTTTCTTTCTTTCGTTTGGTATTAACGTCACTGGCCTTACCTCCTTTTTCTTCGTTCTTTCTTTTCTTCTTTCTTTCTTTCTTCCTTTCTTTCTTTCGTTCTTTCTTTCTTTCTTTCTTTCTATTCACGTCACTTCTTTCTCTTCTTCCTTTCTTTCTTCCTTTCTTTCTATTCACGTCACTTCTTTCTCCTCTTCCTTTCATTCTTTTTGTATTAACATCACTGTCTTTCTTTCTTTCTTTCTTTTTTCTTTCTTTTCTTTCTTTCTTTCTATTCACGTCACTTCTTTCTCCTCTTCCTTTCATTCTTTTTGTATTAACATCACTGTCTTTCTTTCTTTCTTTCTTTTTTCTTTCTTTTCTTTCTTTCTTTCTATTCACGTCACTTCTTTCTCCTATTCCTTTCTTTCTTTTTGTATTAACGTCACTGTCTTTCTTTCTTTCTTTCTTTTCTTTCTTTCTTTCTTTCTATTCACGTCACTTCTTTCTCCTCTTCCTTTCATTCTTTTTGTATTAACATCACTGACTTTTTTCTTTCTTTCTTTCTTTCTTTCTATTCACGTCAGTTCTTTGCCCTCTTTCTTACCTCTTTCTTTCTTCTTTCTTTTGTTTTGTATTAACATCAGTGGCCTTAACTTCGTTCTTTCTTTCTATCACGACAGCTGTGTCTCCTCTTTCTTTCTCTTTCTTTTTTATTTCTTCCTTTCTTGCTTTCATTTTGTATTAACGTCACTGTCCTTCTTTCTTTCTTTCCTTCTTTCTATTCACGTTAGTTATTTGTCCTCTTTCTTTCCTCTTTCTTCTTTCTTTCGTTTTGTATTAACGTCACTGACCTTAAAGTCTTCCTTTCTTTCTTTCTATCACGTCAATTGTGTCTCCTCTTTCTTTGTTTCTTCTTTCGTTTTGTATTAACGTTACTGCTCTCGCTTTCTTTCTGTTAGCGTAACTGATTTAATCTCTTTTTTATTTCATTCTTTGTTCCTTTGTTTCATTGTTCGCCTTTTTCTTTCTTTTTATCGATTTACACTGTTTTCCCCTTCTTCTTCACCTTTTTCTTTTTTTCCTTTTAGGTTACTCAAATTCATTCATCCCGCTATCTCTCTCTCTCTCTATATATATATATATATCTTTATCTCTCTCTTTCCCCTTCCCCATGCAAATTTACTTCCCGTATCTCCATATCCTCACAAAAAAAACTCCAACGACCTGATCTTTTATCCCACAAAGCTAAGTCGACAGGTTTTGCACAAACATTCTGAAAGCAATGGCGGGAACGGAAGTGGAATACGGTAAACGGAAGTGCGTTGACATGCAACGAACATTGAAACCGTGACACCTTGGGAGTCTTTTTACCAATGCTGCTTTATCTGGGAGAAAGATAACGATTATTTTGTCTTTGAATCTATCCTCCGTTGATATTTCTCATGTCAAAAACGGGAGGTGACAAAAATGGCAGACAAAATTTAACCAAAAGATAAGAATGGAAAGAAAGAAAAATTAGAAAGAATAGAAGAGAAAGAAGGTATAAATAGAAAGAATAGAATAGGCAGAAGTTACTAGAAGGAAAGAAAAAAAGAAAGGAAGAAAAAAAAGATACATCAAAATAACAGAAAGAAAAAAAAGAAAGGATAGATAGATAGATAGATAGAAGGGAAGTGAAGAAAAGAATGTAAAGAAACTAAGAAAGAATAGAAAATATAGAAAGAATGATAGAGAGAATAGAAGAGAAAAAAGGTAATAGAAAAAAGCATATATATCGAGATATAAGAGATAAAAAGAAGAGAACATGGACAAGGAAAAGGAAAGAAAGAAAGAAAGAAAGAAAGAAAGAAAGAAAGAAAGAAAGAAAAAAAAGAAAGAAAGAAAGAAAGAAAGAATGAAGGAATGAAAGAAAGAAAGAATACCGGAAATAGGAAGAAAGAATAAAAAGAAAGGAAGAAGAAAAGCAATGAAAAGAAAAAGAAAAGAAAAAGAAAAAAGAATAGAACAAATAGAAAAAATAAAAAGAAAGAAAGAATAAAAATAAGGGAAGAATAGAAGCAATAAAAAGAATGCGAGAACGATAGAAAACAAAAAGAAAGAAAGAACAAAAAGAAATAAAGATTAGAAATAATAAAAAGAAAGAGAAAAAGAAAGAAAATAAACAGAAAGAATAAAAAGAATGGAAGAATAGAAGCAATAAAAAGAAAGCGAGAAAGATTGAAAAAAGAAAGAGAAAAAGAACGAATAAAAGAAAGGAAGAATAAAGGTAATAAAAAGAAGGAAAGAATAAAAAGAAAGAATATAAATCATCGATAGAAAGAAAGAACAGACAAACTTTTCCACCGAGGAATATGGATCTTTGAAGAATGCGATTTTTTTCCAGGCCTGCGTTCGTGACAAAGAAGTGAACAGAATTTCGAATGATGATATTTAACGTAAGCATGTCTTCCTTAACTTGTAGATTGGCGCAACACAATAATAGATATCAATATCATCATATTCTGATAAATACAAGGAAATACAATCCAAAAAAATCACATTTAGTACTCGACACAAAAGTGCCAAAGGCGTGGGTCATGCAGAATTTAAGGTATGAAAGGGACTGAGTGCAGTTACCCTTGAACAATGTCCTTATGTTTTGCAGTTTTAAATTGTTTTAATATTTGGGAACTTACACTTCCACGAAAAACCTATTCGACTGTCATTTTATTTAGCGTCATCCGATGTTGGAGATAGAGAGTTAGAGACAAATATATCAAAAACTTATTAATTCGACTGAATTTTATACTGTAGGGCTTCCAATTCAACTTAATATAGTATGTCAATCATAACATTCAATGACTTTCCTTACAAAAGAAAATCAGTAAAGTCAACAAAATCCAAAAACTGATAAATTAAAAGCAACCTATTAAACATGTGCGAATTTTCATTAATTCCAAACGATCAGAACTTGATGAATATTTGGAGTTAAAACAAAGTAAGTAATCCTGAGACTGTCTAATTTCAGCCAAGATATAGCATATATCTCTTGGGAAATCTCCCCACAAATACCAAATGAACGCTGGTGAGCAGCCGCTGTGAAAAACTTCTTCATGTTTGTGGTTCTAATAATAACATTCTAGCCCCGCCCCATACTCTATAATAGGTGAAGACCAAATTATGGTTGTTGAAAATATGTAGCGCTTATTAATAAGTGTAGGATTGACATGAACTCCCATCAGGAAAAATGGCTTTAGGTTCAAACCCCCAAAGCTTAGGGAGTAAAAATCATGTCTTTTATTTTCTGCATGTTTTAATGAATTCTATTGTAGCACATTGTACGTAGCAAAGAATACAGCGAAACCAAAATTGTGTTCATTCGACTAAATTGTATATTGTAACGCTTCCTCCCCCAAATCCACTTCATAGGGGTCATTTAAAAAACACTTTTAATTTAAATACTTGGGAGAAGGACAGGGTACGTTTATTAATATTTCGGAACAGGACATGGTTTGTATGTTAATATTTGGGAACTGGAGAGGGTACTTTTAATATTTGGAAACACAGAGTACGTTTATTAATATTTCGGAACAGGGTAGGGTATGTTTATTAAAAAAGAAAAAAAGTCATTGTGTTAGCGTTATTAGTTGTTAAATTAGAGATTCAGAGATAATAAAAAAAATGTAGAACTGTGTTAATTTGACAAAATTGGGTATTATATCACCCCCCCACTCACGAATCGACCTCATATAGGCCATTAAAAAAAAAAGTTCCAATTTAAACATGTTATTTATAGCATCCATTTCGACAAGAGTCTTATGAATTTTGTAGCAGAAAAAAAACAAAACAAAAAAAAACAAGGAAAGGCAACCTTTCAGAAGTGAACATTTAAAAATAAGGGATTAAACGTGCAATGTCAACCGATCATAACTTAAGAAATACTTGGAGTTAAGACAGTTAGCTCAGTTCTGATATCCAGAAACTGTACACTTCTAGCTTAAGACACTACAATGAATTACGAATGGTAAGAAGTGACATGAAATTGAAAGATTATATTGAATCTATTGCTATGCCAGCCGCTAAGAAGTGAGTAGATTTCATTGTGTCGTAATAGACAATTTTTCTCTCCAGAATCTATCTTACATATCTATAAGTCAACCATTCGTCCATGCTTAGAATATTGCTACTACATATGATCCGTTGCTCCTGTTGTATATGTGGAGCTCCTTGACAAAATCCAAAGAAGAATCAATATTATCGGTCCTGACCTGACCTATCGGCTTCAGTCACTTTCTCATTTCCGTAAAGCTGTCTTGCTGTGTCTTTTGTATAAATCCTTTCATAGTAATTGTTCGGATGAGTTCTTCGCCAGGGTACCTAGACTTTTTGAATTTAAGCGCAGGACTAGACTAGCGACGAAGACTCCTCAATTTACATTTGAGTTGGCTAGATGTAACTATAAGTTCTATGCTAACAGTTTCTTTCGTCGCACTTCTCGCTTGTGGAACTCCTTTCCGTCTCCAAGCTTACCAGCCAACTTTTAT